GGATTACAACTGGTCGCAAATTATGTAAGTTAGCAATGAGTCATTGCAGTCACGATCATTAAATCCGAATTTGGTGAGGTGGTTTTTACGAGAGAACCACTTCCCTGCACGTTAGAAGAACGTTCACTCTTTTTCCTGTTTGGCGACACCTCAATTAATGAGCTTATTGACGTTGGAAGAATGTTCAAACATCTGCTGTTTGAGGAAGAATTGGAAAAAGGATTGATCAGAAGGATAATAAATTGTGAGGCTTTTTAGCGGTTTATTTTAACGGTCGAAAGAAAGTTCTGGTTAATATCAAAACAAGAGACTGAACATTAATGTAAATTATGTCGTTATGCATTAATATTTCTGACAGATAGATTACAAATTAGTTTTTGATATTTTTTTATGAAAAATGTTGTTTTGATAGCCGATAAATCAGTCCTCACATCTTGTAGAAATGGTCTATGGTTAGTAACAAGTTGTATTTTATTGGAACGCAATGTTCGATGTCGTTTTCTTAGATATCGGACTTTAGCATCGCCAACGAGTCTTAAGAATGAAACTTTAGAGGATCGTATTTTCCGATCAATTCGATTGCAGACTTCACTCAAGTTGAATAATAGCGAAATGCAATACATTTAACATGTTGCAAGATAATGGTCACTTCTCGTTTCTCTATGTAGATTTATCACTTATGAAAAATGTCTGATAACTGAATAAATCATAGGACGACGATACAATTTATTGTAGTGTTATAAAAAAATGCAGACTTTCGTTCCCTTTGGGGAAAAAATGTAATTTTACGTCCGAAATAAAAAATATTATTCTAAATTCATCATAATTTTGGAAATATAAATGCAGTCTGTTATTTTATAACCCGGTCTGAATTCCAAAGTGTTTATTGTTTTTGGAAATTGTTGACACATTCAATTTTTTAATAAAATAAGTAAATATTGGTACAATTATTACAAATCAAACCAATAACAAATAAACTAAAAATAACAAGTTCTATTCAAAAATTTGGCCAAAAATCGCATCAAACAATACGTTGTAATGCTATAAAATGTTGGCATTGGCATCGATTCTCGCAATGTAAATGTGTAAAAATAAAACAACAATAAGGTCAATGTTGATGCACAAAAATAAAAATATCTAATATACCTACAGTATGTCCCCGGATTGAGTTTACAAGAGAAAAAAAAATCTTTGATTTCACGCCAAAACTACAAAGGACATACATTTTTTGCTTTACCTAAAACAAGCAAATCTGTAATTAAAGCTTCATTATTCTAACTTAGTACAAAAAAAGTTCATTTTTCTCTTGATTTTGGAATAATTTTTCTTTGCTTCTTAAGTCCTATCACATTTTGACAATGATGTCACTTTGACAAATAAGTTTAGGCTTAAATTAAATAACAAAAATATTTATGAAAAACATAATTTTAATAAATAGGAACTGAAAGAAAAAGCTTTAAGATAAAAAAACAAAGTCACTTTTAACAAGAACTATCATTATTTAATTAAAAAACCACCAATGTGATAACACTTAAAAAGCAGAGAAAAAAAATATGTTAAGTCGGAAATCAAGAGAAAAATTAACTTTTCTTTTCACTGAATCAGAATAATAAAGTTTCAAGTACAGATTTGTGAAGCAGAGAATGTTTTTCCTTTGCAGTTTTGGCGTAAAATCAAAAATAAAAAAAAATTTTCTCTAGTAAACCCAATCCGGGGACAAAAAATGAACTAGATAACTAAACTAGTAGCAAACAGCTTGAATGAAATACTCTCTTTGTTCATTACTCAATTAATCGATAAATTAATTGATAAATTATCGAATTAGAGCATCTAAAATGACTACTGATTCAAATAAATGAAACTTATTATAAGCAACATTTCATTGTGATTTTAAAAAATTCCCTGGGAAACATTCAGTCTACCAAAAACAGTCTATGATTACATAACTCAAATTCACTCAATTTATTTCCGTTTTATTATTGCATGACTTAATAGACTTGTCTTGTACTTTCCTATTATCTCCCCAAACGAGCTCATTAACACATTTAATACAGTTAAAAATAATTAAATTTAATTACAATTATTGCTTTGAGATGCTCGCCTTACAAATCAACACTATCTCTTAACTCGATAATACCGACATTTATTTGAACTTTGAATAAGATCACTGCCAAATTAATACCAATGATCTCGTAAACACATGTTTAAAATTCACCAATTTTTTTATTACCATGCACAAACATGGACATGGTGATGTAATGTAATTTAAAAGTGTGAAATTGCTCGTTTCATCAAGATCAAGTTCATTGTTATAAATAGATGGGTTTTGGGAGAAAAATGAGACTCCAAAACGAAATTTTAAAAATTAAAACAAACTTCTTTTTTTACTTTTTGATTTTTTTGCAAAATTAGGTTAAACCGAAAATAGCGTGTAGTATTCACATTACGTGTTTAATGAAATAGCAGCATAAAATGCTTCAACACTATACCGAAACATGCGTATTGCGTACTACTACAATTAATAACGGAAGACATGTAATGACCCCTTTTTTAATTTATTTAATCGTCATTGTCCATAATAAAACATTAATTGACCCAGTGGTACAAATTCTAGAATTGTTTAAATGATAACATCTAATCCTTTTTGAATACTAAACTCCGTTCTTTTGAAAGATTTTAAACAGTCTTTTTTGTAACGAAATATGAAAAAAAATGTAAATTGACATTTAAATAACAAAATTGCTTGTTATTTACATACTTTATTTTTTTTGTTCCACATTTGAACAAGATTTTTATTCAGTCAATTTTTTATCAATTTATGTGCATGTCAGAGACAGAATTAACCCATATTATAAATCTGTCATCACATCAATAATTATTACCGTCTGCTACTTCCGTTTTTTAATCTGTGTAAGATGATCGTTATAAGAAAACAGTACGGTATAATTTTTCATGCTTGAATACCTATGCAAAATGGTTTATTTCTTGAGTTCCGTTTCAAATTATGTCATTCATGGAACCTGATTTTGTTACGGTACAATAAATAGTCTGTCAGCAGAAGTTGCATTGGAAAAAATCATACTATTTTAATGTCGCGAAATATGCAATAATCATACAGGGTGTTCCAATGAAAACAAGCCACCCCGATATCTCAGAAACTAAAAAGATTTTGCAAAAACGCCGAAATAGGTCAATTTTGTTTTCAAAGGGGCAATTTTTTGACGTAATTTTTAAAGCACCCCCAGTAACCCCCAACCCCCACACACCCCAACTTTAAAAATTTAAATAGCACTACCCTACTTGTGGCACATCAAATGAAAGCTATTTTAACAAGTTTTTGAAAACTTTTTACCAAAATTGAATCAGACCATCCATTCATGAGATACAGGATGTTCTAATAAAAACGAACTAGAAAGAATTTGCAAACAAAATCAAATAAAAGTGTTTTCTGAAGCTTCTTTTCTAAAGTTGAATGGGATTATCTATTCATCAAATATTCGCAAAAGATAATGTTTCTAATTAGTAATTACTTCTAATAAAAACTATTAAAAACAATACTAATATTGTTGTAAGTGTAATTGGAGCTGTAAGAAACTTATTTTTATTTCTTTATTTTATTGTCACCACATTTAATGTGTGGTGAAATTTCACCATGTTAGTCTGGTGATTTGTTGGATTTGAAAAAAAAATGTTTGTCATTTTTTTCCAAATAAGTCGAAAAACCCCCAAATTGCGTAAAAATAGTTCTGATTGTTTTTTTACAAGATTTTACTAGACAGAATCAAAAATGACTATTTTTATCTTTTTCGAGAAACAATTATTTAGCAAAATATCGTTAAAAAGAACAAATGCGAACAAAAACGACGTTATTTTGCCCTTTTCAAAAGTTTAAGCACGTTTTTGAGATAAAACAAAGAAAATTCTAAAAATTTCGTTGAAGCAGGCAAGAAAATTACAAAATTTTGCTCGAATTTCTAGTTTTTGGACCAGAGGCTCATTTATTTTGCAAAATCTTGAACCAACACGCTTAAAAATCTCAAAAACAATTGATACCGATCTTATTTTGTTTGTTTCAATCGATTTAACTAGTTTTTGAGCAAAATTAAGACAAAAATAATCCGAGAATGTTTTTAAGCACGTTTTTGTAACGAACTGAAAAATTAACATATTAAGTCGAGAATTACACGTTTAGCACGTTTTTCAGCTAGAAATTGCAAAGTTTGTTAAAAACACGCTAAAAAACACAGAATTACACCGGAAATGATATAATTTTATTTTTCAAAAGTTCAAGCAGAAACTTTTTTCACTAAATTGTTATAAAAAAAGCTTATATTGAGATATTTTTACGATTATTTCGTGAAATTTTCTCGAAGAAAAAATGATAGAAAACCATTGGTTAAAAATAGTTTTATTTCTTTTTTTTCACAAGATATGAAAATAAGAACTAATTTTTGTTTTTTTTGAATGCTTTTTCAGCTAGAAAACAAAGAAAATTCGTAAAAATTCGAAAAATGTCCCTTTTAAAAACAAAATTAACCTGTTTCGTTTTTTTCTTGCAAATTCTATTAGAACTCCCTGTATCTCATGAATGTATAATCTGATTTAATTTTGATAAAAAGTTTTGAAAAGCTTGTTAAAATAGCTTTCATTTGATGTGCCATAAGTAGGGTAGTGCCATTTAAATTTTTAAAGTTGGAGTGCGTGGGGGTGTTTTAAAAAATACGTCAAAAAAATTGACCTGTTTCGGTATTTTTGCAAAGTTTTTTTAGTTTCTGAGATATTCGGGGTGGCTCGTTATCATTGGAACACCCTGTATTCATTTGAATATGCAAATTCTTTAGTTCAAAATTCACAATTTATGAGATAATTAGACGATAAAATTTTCAAACAAATTAGGCCTTCAAATCGTCAAATATTAGAACAGACTGGTCTCTGTTTAGCATAGGATTATTTTTAACTTAAATTGGCAATTTTTCACTGAAAAACAGATCTATTTTTACCTTTTCAATGTTTGGTGTTTTCCTCCATTGATAACTAACTTAGGCTTTCCTTTATCACTAGTGCTTGTAGGCGTCATAGAGCTGTGACTGGCAGTTGCTGTTGTCACATCGCTTACAAAACTGCTAACACTTGTTTCTTTACTGATAGGACTTGAAGTTCTACCGTTTGTTAAAGTTTCTGATGTCAGAGGTAATTGCATGTGGCCTTTATTAGGGGCCGGGGGCGGTTTTTCGTCCACTGGTAGCATGTACGACAGCATTACGAAGCACTAACTTAATTTTAACATTTTTAACACTAAATGCACTTTGATGCACAATCGAAGAGCACCAGGAGTCTGCCTGAAATGAAAAGAAAATTGGTATTTTAAAAACTTTAAATTTAAAAAACCGTGCTACGACATTACTCTGTGACCTTCGATGACGTAAATATATCGTTAATAGACGTGTAAATAATCTTCGCGATGATTATCTAAAACTAAAAATAACACAATTTATTCAGTAAAATTGTAACTGCGAAAAAAAATAATTAGAAATTTCAATTGTTTGTGGGTATTGTTATCAATAACAATTAATTTATTGCACCCACACAAACCGTTAAAATTCTTTTACAATCTTGACACGGAAACCACAAAACCAAGTCAATATTTGAATTAAGAGGAAAAAGCTTTAATACGCTTTATCTTTAACAAAATTCCCACCCCCACATTTCTTAGATAAAAAAATGCAAAATGATTGACATCTCGGTAGGTCATGGAAATTCAAATTTAAGGTGGCAACATTGATATTTCGACAGTTCTAGGTCGTTTATTTTTGTACGATTGCAATTGACAATTTGTTACATTTATTGTTTTTAAGAGGTTTTTGTGAATTTTCCATTTCTGTTCCACGTTTCTTCTATATTCACCAAAACTATTACATATTTCTTTTGGACAAATAGTATTGTTATCTAAAGAATGTTCACATTAGTAACTAAAATTAAAGTCTAATTTACATTCTCAACGCCTACCGAGATGTCAATCATATTGAAACGTCCTACCGTGAGATCAAAAATTATCTTGCTCAAGGGTGGTCATGGAATGAAAAACGTCTGTCGTTGCTTATATCATCCTTTTGAAGTAATACTATCAATTTTGACATCGATGACATAACCTACGACAATTATTTTAAAATCCATGACTATCCTTGACCAAGATAATTTTTGATCTTACGGTATACATATTTAAAATGTGTCTGTATAAAATAATTTTTAAAAAACAAAACCTCAATGTACGTTATAAAAAATGTCAAATTGTGACAATTATGTTAATTTGAATTACTATTTTTACACGAAAAATTCATCACTATTGTTTATATTTTGTTGTTGTTATCAAACCCATTTATTCACAGTTTTGTGTTGTCGATCTTATCTTATGACAATTTTATTTAGTATCTATTTTTTCATCTTTTTTGTGTAATTGATTTTGCTATTGCATATTTTTTTTAGTTTTATTGTTGCTTAAAAAAGTTCACTTGTGACAAAAATGTTCATTTATTTTTTATTTTTTACTCAAAAATGTGTCTTTAATAGTCAGTGTAAATCCAAATTTTTCGTTAAACTTGTTATAAAAAGACAAAATTTGCACTTGTTTTCTACAATTCTCAAAGATAAGAAAATAAATAAAGAATTGAAGAGTTAGGTTGGAAATTTTGATGATGGAATTGTAATATTGTCAAATTTTATTTAAATTTGATTTATAATAATTATTGTAAAAACGGACAGTTTTTTCCAAAGTATAGAAATCACTTTTTAGACACATTTTTAACGGAGAGATACAGAAAAACTGGTAAAAAATGGTAAAACAAAAAAATATAGGACATTATAGATACTAATCTAGTCAACTATACAGCGTCTCAATAATGAGTTACAATAAAAACTTGTGTTTTTTTAAATGAAACACTATATGTTTCTTAGCGTTTTCGGATGTAGATTTTTTGACAATGTTTTTAACTTAAATTTTTATTGGTCGATTTTGCTTAGTTTTACAAATAAGACGGTTTTTGTGACTTTTAAAAAAATTATTATACAAAAACTAGGACATGTAGAAATATTTTTTTTACTACCGCAAAGAAGAAGGTACAAGCTATAAGGTTGTAACATTTTTTTTAGTGTGTTGCATTTGCAAAGATAAAAAAATGAAGGCGTTTATTAAAAGTTCAATAACTTAAAAAATTTGAATGGAACACCCTATTTATTGTTTTTGCATTTAAAAGATTATTAAATTATCTTTTTTAAATTAATTTTTTTAGGTGTTTATAATTAATAACTAAAAAGATATTTAACGTTAAACATTAAAAAAAATTACTATTGTTTCAGTAACCAAAAAGTGCAGTTGCACAAGAGATGGAAAAAAGATCACTTAATAATCACGTTTGTGTTACACTGAATCCATTATTCTTTACTTTTACAATAAAATAATTCGAATTTCAGTATTTATAACGACTAGCGAATACTGAATGTTAAATATTTTTTCATTTTGTTCAAAAATAATACCATTTTTCCGTTTTAGGACGTTTTTTAGTCAGAATCGCAATTGTTTTGAAAATTTTCGTCGAAAATGAGGTAAAAAATGAATAAACTATCACGAAACTAAAATTATTTTTGCTTCTTTGGAGAGTTTAAGCATGTTTTGAGCCGCAAGAAAAATCATTTGGTTGCTTTTCCAAACGTTTTATCAGATTTTTCAATCAAAAGCACAAAACTTCGTCAAAATAAGACGAAAAATCACATAATTAATTCGAAAATGATGTTATTTTTCCTTTTTTCAAATATTTAATTGCCTTTTTAAGTCTAAAACAAAGTTTTTTCTTTAATTCTTGCTAAAAAAACATACCAAAATTAATACATATACCAGACTAAATAAAAAACGACATAATTTATGCTCTTTTCGAGCGTTTTAAAACATTTTTCAATAAAAAACGCAATTATTTCGCAAAATTTTGTCAAGAATACGTCGGAAATTGAATTAAATAAAAATTGTGCTTTTTTTAAACATTTATTTATTATTATTTATTTATTTAAACATATTTTTACACCTTTATCCACTGTTTATTCAACAATCCAAGTTGTACATAACGCCTTTAGCATTTGGTAATTTCATTCCTAATAGAAACCAACACTTTTTAAAAAATAAAAATTGTTTTAAAAGAAAATACCAGTTTTAAAAAAAATGTTACATAACACTTTTATCCACTCACCCCTTCAATTAATATTGAATGTTAAATATCTTTTCATTTATCAATTCTAGACATTAAAAGTTTATTCTTTTAGATAGACAATTTATCAATCTATTAGATCCAAAAATAAATAGGGTGTTCCATTTATATTTTATTTAACTTTTAACAAACTTCTTAATTTATTAAACTTTACACTAAAAAATTCATGACAACACCAATCAGAGCAAACAGTTAAAATGCTTTTTACCAAAACAATTTAATGCATTTAAAATCACACTTAGTAAACAGTTTCCCTAACATTTATTAAATCAAACCCCGCACCCTCGGACTATATCACCAACTGCACCCTCTAGCCAACTAAAATATCAATAGTTTCCTTTCGTCACAGTTTAACGGGGACGGTAATTGTTATTCGTGCGGATGTAAACTCGACTTTACGCATCCGTAAGCAAAGAAGCGACCAAATCACAAGAAATTTAAAAAATCCAAGCCCTTTAATATTGACGTCACGCACCAGCTGGCCTAGTGGATTGTTTACAAACATTTTCGCATCTTCCAAACCCAAACTGCTATTTAAATCCGCCACGAGTTTTATTGATTGCTAAAAATTTTGTAAATTTAGAAAGTACCAAAGAGTCGACTATTACATAAATGAGTGCGATTTGCTCATCCCAATTTCGCTCATTTACCTGTGCTTGAGATGGGGGCTCACCCTTGACCACTGACACCACACCTACACAGCACCACTGTTAAAATTCAGGAGCAATGCAGTCCTGAGTGCGATTTTAGCGGAGGAGCCGGTGTTTATCCGCGGCGCAGCTCGCGATTCCTACACAGCGGACCATCGAAACTCTACTTCTGCTGGCTTTGTTACTTCCTCATACCAGGCAATGCGCGTGCGTTTTGAGGGGTACAATCAAACAATTGCTTTGATTTTTTTTTTCATGTGTTTTGCGCATCCCGACGCTGAAATCTGAAAGTCTCAACAAAAATTTCAAATGACGCAAAGTGTTATATTTAGGTGTGTGACACACAATTTACAAGTCTTATGTTTGGTACAATGTTTATTATTTGATTTAGAGGTAATTATTTTTCTGAGGTAATGTTGATCATGGTGCTATCTAACGATGTTAGGTACGAATTAGAAGCTACCGCGAGTAGTTTACTACGTGTTTTAATAACACAAGTTTACACAATTTATGTTAAAATAATAATAATAATAATAAAGGTCTTTATTAATTAATTAAAAGCAATACAAAGATGCGGAGGCGAAGTCTAGCTTGAAGCTATTCAACTTAACCTCAAAAGAAAATTGATAGAAAAAAAAACAATTATAACATAAGAATAAAAATTATTGTTATAAACAATATAAAATTTAAATAAAAATAAATTCGGAAGTTACTTAATAACTAAAAGTAAAGAAGGAAATCATTGCCAGTCTCTCAAAAACAAAAAGAAAAAACAAGAAAGAATTCTTTAAGAAGAAATGAAAAAAAAAAACAAAAATTGAACAGAAATAAATTCTTTTGTTTGTTGTTTATAGTTTTAAGAAAAAAACAGTCTTGAATTACACACACTATGTGTAAAAATTGTAAAATTAATTTTTGTAAAACAAATAAAGATTTATTTAAGAGAATTTTTTTTGT